CTACAAAAAGATTTTCGCCGATTGTATTGTTGTCTGCAAGACAGATTTATTTTCCTATCAATTGCATGATCCACACGTGATTATCTACACTAAAAAACTCATTTATTTTACTTTTTAGGCATAAATTATTAAATACAGCAGTCAAAAGATACAAGATGGACGGTTTAAACAGTGCCAAATATAAATTACTGTTTATACATAATGAACAATTATATACTCATATTATGGTGGACATTGACGACGCGTAGGTTTTATTTAGGACGCATAATAATTGTTATGTATAGTTGTATTCAAATCCAGTTTTTACTTGCATATCTTACATGTCACAAATACTTTTAATTTATTGATGAGAGGTTGTTGCATATGAAGGGAATACGTGTAAAGTCGTCATTTTTTGTTTTATAGTGATATTAGTTTTTATTCCAGACGTATCATTTTAGCCTTTTTTTTCTTTTACAGACATTTGTGCTCAAATACATGATTTATGTGTAGATATTTTGTTGCTTGTTTGCAACTTTTATGATTAAGGTCAATATTTAACTTCCACGAGACTAATGTATGTTACGCTGGTTCCGGGTCGACTAGCGATTCAAAACATCTCTTCGCATGCTCAGACCTAAAACTTTACCAGATCAGCAACTGCGATGAACACTAATTACTAATAGGGATTGGTGGGAACAGTGACAGTCGATTAAGATCTATCGATTAAACCGATTGTTCTAGACGCCACTCTTATCGCAAACTGTGTGTGAATCCAACTGCCTTAAAATTCTGTCAGATTCATTGTCGACCTGAAACCATCATTATGAATTCCACCGACTTTGATTTTGGTTTTCTTAAATATTCTAAGTTTTTGAATAATCTTGGAAAATTTAAGTCAATAACTACATTCAACTCAATGAGCTTAAGTCACTTGAATTTTTGTATGTCATATTTGAGAATTCAATTGACAAAAAAAAAAACGTTTTTTGATGTGGAATTTCTATTATCAAACTTAGTAGGTCTACTGTTTGCTTAGACTGGGTGTATGTCTTGCCTTTAAAGAGAGCTTCCTTTATTGCAGTCATTGAGAATATAGTATGTATGTCATTATTTATATTATTTGTGTGGTGGTGAATACGATATATCTTTTCGTGTCAGTAACACTGACACCGACAACTCAATTTGATAGCTACTTAGATTGTATATGATATGTTTCAATTGTGTTTGCACTTTCAGTATACATTACTTATTTGTTTAATAATATCACTTATATCGGGTGGCCCAGAAAAAACGATCACACTTTTCATTTCAGGATTTTTCAACAAGTATCACAGCCAAGACCACGCGACTTTAACTTCATAATTCTAGAGATATTTGACATCTTTTCACCAAATTTCAGCTATATAGGTTGAACCATTTTGACATACCAGCCTTTTTAAAAATTCCTCGTCAAAAAAAAATGATGAAAGTAAATACTGTAGTTTCTCCTCTGAAATTGAACTAATAATCAATGAGATAATCATTTTCGGCACAAATCGCCAAAACTCCCCTTTTCCATGACCAAATATCACCTTTTCGGTCCCACAGAGAGATATTTTATCATATTTCTCTCTAATTCCTCCAGCGGTAAATTTTGTCAGCTGTAGAGAAAACACATTATAAACCATTGGCTAGCTATATCTAAATTCAGAAGGCCATTCTTTCATGGAAAGGGGTTTTTGGGCCATTTGTGCTGAAAATGTCATCCATATTGAACATTGTTTCAATTGTAGAGGAGAAATTACAGATGTTACTTTCGGCATTATATTTTTTGCCTATTATATCTATAGTTGTGAAGTTTAAATATTATGGTCTTAACCTTGATACTCTTTGAATAAATCCAAAAATGAAACATGTTATCGTTTTTTCTAAGCCACCCGATAAACCCAGAATACTTACATACATATCGCCATGCAGTATCTAGATTTAATCTTTTTTCCAGACATAGAATATCTAGTCATATTTTTGCACTGCGAGAATTATTGAATTCATGAGTTTAAGCATAATTTTAATCAAAAATATTAAATCTTGACATCAATTTTATTTAATGGCGTATTGTGAAATTTGTTAATGCCAAAAACTAAAGACAGATTCTTACTACCGCATATTCTTCTGGACAGTGGATGAAATCCGTTTTATATTTGATTGAACGGAATTTAGGTAATTATTTAATTATGTCTTTCTAAAATTTGAGCCCAGAGGAAAACACAGATCTACAAATAACACATGTAAAATGTAAGAAAACATAAAGGTTTTCACTTTTTAATTCTAGCTTTCCTTGTCTTTGTCAAATTTGAGGCATTCGTCTTCCAATGACCTTAGAAATTGCTTCTTAAATTATGCTTGTTTCGACCTCCACTCGAAATATATGTTTTAGTAGCGACATTTCTATTGACAAAGTCTAAATTAGAGTCGTTTTATATAATATAGTAAATAATGACTTATTTCTCCATCGATCTAAAGTACTAAAATAATAGAAAAGAATAAAAAAAAAATATTTTGATCGACAATGATATGTAAAATACTTCCTATGGATTTTATGCTAGTTGTTAATTTATGTTCCTGGAATTCTTTTTATTGTACTCACTTTTTGAAGCCTGTGAATGTTTTTTAATTATACCAAAAGTTGTTTTAGGGTACAATGTATATTAGTCCGAAACATCTGACTCTATACCAGCCTCTGATGGATATTTTGACAGTTGTCAGCTGGAGTAGAGTCAGAAGAAAACGACCCTGTTAAAAGTTCGGTTTAAATGTATAATAGAATTAATTTTAGTGTAGAGTGATCTCATGAACAGTATTATCATACTATAGAACGAGATTTTGGCACAGCTTACGCACATTTTACTGTGTGTGTAAGCTGTGTCAAAATTTGAATTAATTCAGAAGAAAATAAATTGTTGAGCTTTCTTTGTATTTTAAATCCTGGTTCCCAACCTCTTCGCCTTTCACCATGACTGCTATCGAGCAAATAATGGGCCGACTATACAAATTGTCCATTGTATACAGGCGCTGCTCAATATATTTAGGGACACGCCATATTTGTAACATTGTGCAAGAAATGCAAATTCAGATTTAATGTAAGATCATTCTAACTGTATTGGTGGTTTTACAAACCTCATGCTTAAATAGTCATTAGTTTATCGAGTGCATTTACAGCATAATATTATTTTCAATATTTTAGACTCGATTGATTATCGATATCGCTTGCAATCAAACGAGACCAAGATATGTCTTGTGCATTTATGTTATGTTATGTATATGAATGCTATTACAGTCGAGTGTTTCCAAGTCTGGTTATAATAAATTTCCAGTTTAGATTTTATTGTGTATGTTAAGACTTTTTATTCAAACATAATTTATTATGTACACAATATTATTATACAATGAACATAAATAAAAATATAGAAATCATGATCTTGATATATAAGATTGGAATACAATCATTTCAATGAACTTGGAAAATGTTCGGGTCGCAGGGTCCCGACTTCTTTAAGGGACAGGTGCGCCATATGGGGGGAGGGGGGGGGGCGTGGGGTTGAGTCTTGAATATTATGTAAATAGTCTTCAGAAGTACTAGAAATGTACGTAAATCACACACTTCCTTTTAAAATACTTCAAACAAAGAATTTTACTCACTATTTCTATGTATATCTTTTTTATATACCACAGAGTATTTTAAATTGACGAGTCGTGATTTTAACATTCAATCGCGGATATTTCTCAACGCACATGGATTTAAAGGATTAAATTTCGACGGTGAGCTGTGAACACTATTACGGATTGCTTAACTAAAACAATCTCGTTTCTGTTGACTATTGGTAACAAAAAAACGGGCTACCTGTCCCTTTAAATGCATTATGCCATCCGTCCAACACAAAATTTTGACTTTTTGGGGTAGGCGTATGCCAAGGGCTTACAGGAGATAGTTTATATAGAAGTTTCAATTCAGTATGAATTCATTTTACTTACATGATTTCATCTCATTAATTTATCCACACTTTTATAATAGGGGCTAACATGAAAAGAACGTCTACGTTTGAATGTGACCATGACCTGATGTTCGTGTGCTGTAAGTTAAACATACCTGGACATGAAAAAAAAATTAATGCCGCTATCGTGGTAAAATTTCCCTCATTACACACTGAATGACATTGGCCGTCTTTTTGCAGTCGCACAAAATGTAAGAGAAATATCACTTAGAATACGCTTCATTCTATGTATTTTATTTTTTGATTGAACACTGTCACTTATTAGCTGACGGAGCTTAACAAGACACGTTGAACCAGAGCCAGTTTATACAAAATTCCACAACTAAAACCCTTGTCATAGAATATAGTCAGAAGGCGCATCGAGGTTGACAGATTTACCTACTTGTCTATGATAAAGACTATATAGCTCTGATAATCCAATTCGTTATGAAAAAACAAATAAGATGGTAATATGCCATGAGAGTATATCATTAACATTCTTGATCAAGATTGTGAATGAAAAATTTATTCAGGACCTTGTGAATGTCGTGGATAAGTAGCCTTAAAGACCAAAACAAGTAGGCCCTTCGAAGTGAGATTCTTTGTGGTGGGGGGGGGGGGGGGGAATTATATATCCAGAGTTTCCTTGGTTACCGGTTTGATGTAAACCTATCTATCCCTTTTCTTTTTTTTAGATTTTTTTAGCCTTTTCTTTGCAGGTCACTAATTAAGGGGAGATAAATCTAACGTGAACTATTGTGAGTCCGATTTGACCTAATACTTTAAGGTCGAACTGGCGTCTGGGCGATTTATCATTGGTCAGTTCGTATCAACTGCAGTCTTGTACAAATTTCTAATATTGCAAAGTGATGTTAATACAGAATAATCTTGTGTAAAAGAAAATAACAAAATGTTATGATTACAAAAGGCGTACATAAAGAATATTAGCCAATTTCATAATGTAAGGTCAAGGACAACCAGACACTATTTGTGGTTTCTGCAAAGCGAACTTAACCCAAGATGGCTGAATTTTGTAAATTATTGCGGGAAAAATTAACGAAATATGGAATAAAACTAAGATGTGTTTGATATAGAATTCATCTGTCTCTCAGAAATGAAGTGTGTGATTCCTGGACTCAATGTGAAGATATTTGGACGAACTGTTCACTCACTTAGCAAGATAGGCGATGAGTTATACTTTGAACCTATGCAACAGGGTCTGGCCATTCGGACTGTCAACTCGACCAGATCTGCATATGCATACATATTGTTTGCCCCGTCATTCTTCAGTAATTATGATGATGGGTCGTCATTATTGAATTCGAATGGTTCAGATGCTGAGGAAGAAGACATCATGCGTTGTAAAGTGAATATGAAATCTATATTGACAGTGTTCAAATCCTTGTCATCTATCGAAAAAAGTGTCGAAAGATGTAAAATATCTTTAAATAATAAGGACTCTAGACTCGTTTTTCAACTATATTGCAAGCATGGTATTGTCAAAACCCATAACTTAGCTTTTATTGAATGTGAAACTCTACAGGCAGTTTTTTCAAAGGACTTGACCCCAAACAAACTGACAGCACATCCAAAATTATTATGTGACGCTGTTGTGAATTTTCAAAACAATCAAGAGGAAGTGACATTAATAGCAAAACCTGACAAAATTTCACTCAAGAATTATGTTGAAGATGAAGTAGATCCTAAAAAGGTTGTGTTGACTGAAATGCATCTAAATCCAAAGGAATTTGATACCTGTCAGTTAGGTGTTGATGCTGAAATAACATTTTGTTTGAAGGAATTGAGGGCAATTCTAGGACTTGCAGATGTCATTAGCCTGCCACTGAATATACATTTTGAGAGAGCTGGAAGGCCAGTGGTTATTTCTATTGACAGTGATGTAACGTTTGAAGCAAATTTTGTTTTGGCAACTCTTGCTGATGTTGACACTTCAAGTAGTCAATCAAGATCAGTATCTCAAAAAACTGGTTCTTCAAAGCGAATGTCTAAATCTAATTCACTTAACGAGGCACACACTTCAAAAAATCTTCATGATGATGAATTTGAGGATGATTTTGAAGAAATGATCTGCAATGATCCAACAGTTGACCAGATGACATCAATGGTCACGGAACATTCCACAAGAAAAGATGATAAAAATCATAATACATCAAGAAATAGTTCCTCAAGTACCAATGCTTCTAAAAGCTACAAAAATTCAGAACAAAATGGGATTTCTAAGGAAAAAAGTGCTAGTGCATCTTCAAATATTCTAAAGAAGAACACAAGTTCCAATATGAAAACATCAAAAAGTTTGGCTCCTACTGTGGACCATAATAGTCCCACTCCATCCCCAAGTGATCAGTCAGGAAGTCCTGTTATTCCATTCCAAAGTGAACCATTTAAGCCTCATCTTTCTGCTCTGAGACTGGATGAGTCTGAGATGCAAGATCTTGATGAAGAAGATGACTTAATTCCCGGAACACCACCAAGTAAAAAGTTCAAATCCATGGTGTTTGGATTTAGCCAGAGTAGTACACAATATGAATCATCTCAACAAGCTGGAACTGTTTTAGCTGTGGACACTGATGAAGATGATTAATAAAATTGCCTGCTTTACCACTGGTATATTTATTTGTGATGCTTATGTAGTGCTGAAACAAGTTAACTGTACTGGATATCAGTTGAGCTTATATTAGTGACATTTTGAAATATGCCTAATTGAAAATACTTGGGAGGAACCAGTCTGCTTATTGCTTACACATAAATGAAATAACTAAGTTATTGAGGCGCCATTTAACAATAATCTAGACAAAATAATATATTTAATAATATATTTATTACATTTTAGTAATCACAATTTATAAGTACAAATTATACAATCACATCAATAGCCAGTTATAACTTCGAGTTGTATATAAGTTAAATAGAAATAATATCACATGGAAAACATGGAGGGAATAGTAAATTTATATCACATCATTCCACAGTAAAGTCATGTTCCTTTAGCAATGGTGGCATCTAACTGTTGCTTTCATAATCACATATTCTTATCATGTTAAAGATCCTTAGACAGTTAGAAATCGAAAAATGCCGCTGTCTTGGTAAAATTTCCCTCATTGCACTCTGCATGGCATTGCCCGTCTTCATTAGCTCACAAGGTGTAGAAAAGTAGAACGTAAAATACCATTCATTACATTTCATTTGTTCTATTAAAAATTTTAAATGTACTGCTAAGAAAAACCATCAAGATCAAAATAAGCATGATTTAAATGTCTGTTTGAAATATTAGGTCATGTGTTAAATTTTATATCATGATAATAATCATTATATTTTGTCATTTTTAAATGAGTTGATATTGTAACTATAAACTGAACAATGCAATTTTTCTCTCATTATGTTAACTTATTACCGTATATAAGCTATATATGTAGTGTAGGACTTATCATCTGTTCCATCAGGGAAAAAAGAGCTTCAACTGTGAAAATAAATATTGAAGCTTAGCTTAACAAACAAAATTGTTTCTGTGATTAAAATCTGAATGAACTTCAATGGAAGTAAAAAAGAACAGGACTGTGGTTGAAAATTAGTTTGATTACAATAGAGACCAAAATATCAATTTGTATTCTAATTTTGATAAGATTGCTCTAGGGCTAGCCTTGCCTTTTTAAAGCTGATAATCCATTTCAGATAAAAGTACCTTATATGTAAAATTCTTTACAACCATGACAGTTCACAAATTCTATCAGAAAATAGCTTTCTACAAATTGCTTTCTACAAATTGCTTTCCGAATGAAAAAATAAGCACTATCAACTGAATATTATATTTATTCACATTTTAATGTCAAAAATCACAATTTACAAATTATACAATCACATCAATAGCCAGTTATAACATCGAGTTGTATATAAGTTAAATAGAAATAATATCACTTGAAAAACATGGAGGGAATAGTAAATTTATATCACATCATTCCACAGTAAAGTCATGTTCCTTTAGCAGTGGTAGCATCTAACTGTTGCTTTCATAATCACATATTCTCGTCATTACAATAGTAGATATTAGTTGAAAATTGTGTTCTCCAGGGTACATAACTTGCTTTGTCAAATCATTCATTCAGGAGTTATATTTGTATGTTTGGCATTTCGGCCATTTCGACATTAATTTGAACTTTGAGACTCAATTATCAGAAAAGAAATTTGATGTAAACAATTTTTAGGCTGGTTATTCAAACATTTGCTTCTATTTGGTTGAGAAGTAAACTCTCTACAATTCAAAGTTATTGATGAGAATATTGGTTTGTGAAAGCAATGGTTAGATGTGGTTAAGATAAGTACACCTTTGATGAAGGAACTTGCACAAGCCTTTCTTTAATAATAATTTTGAAAAAAATCACTATATAAGTTATAAGAACTGTTATTCTGCAAGTTGTTTTGATTAAAAAATACAAGTGCCATAGGGTTTGGTATAACAGATACAATTTTTCAAAAAAATGCACATCTTTTCCCGAATTTTATTAAATAGAGCTCTGATGAAATATGAGTGTATAGTATCACACAAAATTTTTATTTATTCATTTTTTTTTTTGAAGATTTCAACATGCTCATTGATCGGTGATACTTTTGATCATAGGTTGAGTAACAGGCCAATTCTCAGGATTACAATCAAGGGCAGCTAGCTCTTCATCTGTTCTCTCACCTTGAGAGTGTATTGGCATCTGAGTTCCATTAATGTTCAATAGTTTCAGTTCTAGTGGACCAAGCTGCAGATAGTCCTAAAAAAAAAAAAAATAATTTAAAGAAGCCATCTCTTAATGAAACAAACCATATTGTAAGATTGTAGAGGCAATGACACATAATTCAACTCATGATACTTGGAGAATAAATAAAGCAGTATTGGGTCAGGTTTTAATACATGTGGGCGTATATAGCAGCCGTCTGTCCACAATTATTGTGGACATGCTAGAGAGCCAGTTTGTTGATGGATTTTAACAAAACTTGGTACGAGTGTTTGTAATCACCAAAGGATGAACCCTATTGAAAAGTATTTCATTAGTTATTGCCCTTGTTTGTGAATATTTGTTGTGGACATGATAGAGAGTTTATTTCTTGATGGATTTTGATAAAATTTTGATAAAATTTGTGAATCTTTGTTATCACTTACAGATGAACCGTATAAAAATTTGGAGTAAAACTTACACTAAAATCTTCCACTTCAAAGAATAAATTTTTATAGAAATCAAAACTAGATTGTGTATCTCTAATTTCTGAAATAAAATAAATACATTAGAGTTCTAATATGGATTGAGGTAACAATTGCATGATGTAATTTTTCAATCTTGTTTCCTCCTGTCAGTGATGCAGATAGGAAGGATTAATGTTCAGTAAGGACCATTAACTGAGGCCCTGTGTTACAGACTGTGTACGCAAAAGACTTCTGAACAGTTGGAAAATCAGAGCTAATGCTGCTTTCCTTGCAAATTTTTCTCATTGAACACTGCATCAGGTTCAGAAATGTAGGACATTAAACTCCATTCATTGCATTTTAAAACTTTTTGGGATTAACAAAAGATTAAAAATCTAAACTAGACTAAGAAGTATCAAATTAATATAAAACATGGCTTACTGTCATCTAATTCATCATCACTATCATCATCTTCATCACTCATTTCTTTAGCTATTATAGACATTATCTTATCTTCTATAGCTTTCTGTTTGGCACTTTTAGGTCTCTCTGAAATCAAGTTCAATAGTACCTTTAAAGGCTATCATAATTATGTTACAATAATAAAATAAATTTAAAACGAAAGTATTCATCTCATACTCTGGCCATGTCTTTCTGGATCTGAATCACATGACTTGAATCCTGTTACAAATCAAGCCTACACAAGGAATTAAGGTAGGTTTTCAGTGTGTGACCTTTGCAATTGTTTGAAAAAATCATTGACGAACTGGGTGTAGCCTTTGCAATCATAAACAAACTGGGAAGCCTTTGCAATCATAAACAAACTGGGTGTAGCCTTTGCAATCATAGACAAACGGGGTGTAGCCTTTGTAATCATTGACAAACTGGGTGTAGCCTTTACAATCATAAACAAATTGGGTGTAGCTTTTCCAATCATAAACAAACTGGGTATAGCCTTTACAATCATAAATAAACTGGGTGTAGCCTTTGTTCTCATTGACGAACTGGGTGTAGCCTTTGCAATCATAAACAAACTGGGTGTAGCCTTTACAATCATAAACAAACTGGGTGTAGCCTTTACAATCATTGACAAACAGGGTGTAGCCTTTGTAATCATAAACAAACTGGGTGTAGCCTTTGTAATCATTGACGAACTGGGTGTAGCCTTTACAATCTGGCTGTAGCCTTTACAATCATAAACAAACTGGGTGTAGCCTTTACAATCATAAACAAACTGGGTGTAGCCTTTACAATCATAAACAAACAGGGTGTAGCCTTTACAATCATAAATAAACTGGTTGTAGCCTTTACAATCATAAACAAATTGGATGTAGCCTTTTACACTCATAAACAAACTGGGTGTAGCCTTTACAATCATAAACAAACTGGGTGTAGCCTTTGTAATCATAAACAAACTGGGTGTAGCCTCTGTAATCATTGACGAACTGGGTGTAGCCTTTACAATCATAAACAAATTGGGTGTAGCCTTTACAATCATAAACAAACTGGGTATAGCCTTTACAATCATAAACAAACTGGGTGTAGCCTTTACAATCATTGACAAACAGGGTGTAGTCTTTGTAATCATAAACAAACTGGGTGTAGCCTTTGTAATCATTGACGAACTGGGTGTAGATTTGCAATCATAAACAAACTGGGTGTAGCCTTTGTAATCTTAAACAAATTGGGTGTTGCATTTGCTTGCTTTCAACGAATTGAGTATTATCTTAGCAATAATTCAACAGACCAGATGTGACTTTGCTAACTATCAAAACATTGGTTCTGACCTTTGCTAGCTTTAAACAAATTAGGTGTGGTCTTTACAATCATTCAACAAATTCGATTTGACCTCAAAAAGTAAGAGCCACCCACCCTCAATACTTGACTCAGATTTATAAAATGTGACAAACCTTTTGGAGGTGGAGTAGATGTTGGTGATTTTTGATTGATTGACAGTTGATTTAAATCTATTTCTAAGATACATGAATCTTCTAAATTTTCACCATCTTCAAACTGTGTCAAATAGAAACTCCTGAAATAACAGTAACAAAAATTATTAAAGGGGAAGTGTGCTGTAGTTGCATAAAAGCAAAAATAGGGACTAAATCTTCTCTCCCAATGTTCAACAATGTTTGAGTGTTTGTTGATATTGTGCAGTTCATTTTGTTTTTTTACTTTATGTCAGAAAAGGAGCTATCCTTGTTTTTTTTAAACCTTATTTGGTTTATAAAAATAATTCAAAAAACAGTTTGATTTGATTAAATTTTTCACTCTATGATATAACTTCTTCATTTAAAAGAGATGTGTGTTTATTTTAATGTTAATCACAATAACATAATATTTTTGAACTTTTTATATCATAGTCTAAATGTTAGTCTAGTAGTCTAGTAAGAACTAAATGTTTCAGTGAAAAAGTTTTGAAAATCTGATTGATTGATTGATTTCAAATATTGATATTAATGAAATGAAATGAATGGAGATTTACGTCCTACTTTTCTACACCATGTCGGCTAATGAAGACAGTGGCTAGGACAGTGGCATTAGCCTGCTCTTTTTCGATTTCCAACTGTCCACAGATATTTAACGTGCACAGCCTGTAGCACACAGGGCCTCTGTTTATTGTCCAATTCGAACGACTAGACGCTTTTTCCATGTCAGCCCTCTCATCTGCATCACTGCCAGGGGGAAAGTGGGTTGAAAAATCCGAAAGTATTATCTCGACCTATACAGGGATTGAACCCTGGACCTTCGGGTTAGCTAGCAAGCAACTAACTCACTGAGCCACCAAAGCTCCCATTGATATTAATGAAAGAACCAAGAATAATTAGACTATGTTGACAAAAATTGATAAATATGAGCGCAAAAGGATAAGTTATTTTGAAGCTGTTACAACTCCCCCTCAAATCTTTATATCAATATTCCTAGCAACACTAGCATACCTATTTTGAAGCTGTTTTATCTACTTGCATTGAAATAAAATAAAACATGTAAGGGAATGTAAAGAGGTTTTCTTAATTTTTTATGTGTATCGAGCACACTGATAGCATCAATTTGTACCATTCCAATTTTTATTCAGATGTCTGTAACTTTTGCAATTCCACAAAAAATATCACATAGTCTAAGGTCTTGCGGTATTAGTGACGTCATCAAACACTAAAAATAACTTACTTGGAAATTTTTAGATCATCAATAGTACAATCAAATAGATTGCTCATGATTTCTAAATTACGTTTTTCTAATCTCTCTACTTCTCCTTTAACTTTCTCCATCTCATTCTGATGTATTGCAACCTACAATATTTGCATGTATTTGATTTGAAACATGAAATTAAATAAAACTGCACACATTTTGACCAGATATTAAGTAAAGTATTGGCCAGGTTTTAATGTGACATATGAAAAAGGAAAGTTTCAGCAGGATTTCTATCAAAATTTATTGAAGGTTGAATTTCGTGATATAAAATAGTGGACCACAGCCATATACGCTCACCACGGCATGCGGATGGTAAATATTGAAGATTTTGGGGCAAGGGCAATAACTCTGCTTAATAGCTCAAATTCGAACTTGATCTTCGTTTTATGAATATGTATACACATACCGAATTTCATTTGATTCCATCAAAAAATCTAGATTTTAGAGTGTTTACGAGCAAATGTTGATGGACAGACTGACGGACGGACAGGGGTACCGACAATATACGTGCACATAGAGAGATGTGGGTGTATAAAAATGGAAATGCTGATTTGAATTAGTGGTTGAGATTATATATCTTACCCTTTTACAGCTGTCGTGTTCACTGGAATTATGACTGAAGATGACTTATGGACTTAATGTTTTATGCAAAGGATTGTATGTACTCTGTGCTGTTTTTAGAAATCCTCTTTTTGGGTTTTTGTATGCCTATTTTTGACTAATTTTTGGTCTAGATTTGGAATTTGTTGTCTGAAATTGCATTTTCTTTAAGATTTCGGGAGATGATTCTAAAAATAGTCGTTTTGTGTGCAGTGACAGTCACAGATGTTAATAAAATGTAGTGGTCTACTTTCGGTTTGGCTAGCTCAAGATTTTCATGATCTTGATATATTGAATTTTTGTCCAGAAACTAAGCATTGGCCAGGCTTTCATGTGACATTGGAAAGTTTTCAACGAGATTTCTGGAAAAAGTTATAGAAGGTTGAATTTCGAGATTGAACATGGAAACAGAAGGCAAATGAATTATCAGAGTTGGTCCTGTTAATCAAGGTCATTAGACTTCACACTTACCTCCCTTTTTAACCAATCATTATCCAGAACTTCTTGTCTGCTATGTTTATCTAATTTCTTCATAGCTTTCTGTTAAAAAAAAAAAAACCATCATATCTATTTAGCAAATGATACATTCCAAATTAAAGGGATTGTAAAGAGGTTTTCTAAATTGTTTATGTGTATCTGGGACACTGATAGCATCAAATTGCACCGTTCCAATTTTCATTCCAATGTCTGTGGTTCTTGCAATTCCACGTCTTTTATGACGTCACTGCATAGATATTCCAGTAGCTCCCCTCTAGTGATGTCATAAAACACGTTAGTTTTAGTGGAATTGCAAGAAAATTGGAATGGTACAAATTGATGCTATCAGTGTCCCATATACACATAAAAAGTTTAGAAAACCATTTTACAATCACTTTTAAGTTAGTCATGCAGTGAATCTTCTAAACTAAATTTAGATATTTTGCATTCTAAATCACATAATGTGTCACTCTGCACATAATTTATAGACGATGGCAATGTCCAATTCATATCTTATATAATCTACACATATATAGAATCCATTATCTAATTGTGTATTATTTACATCTAAATTCAAATTAACAATGCATATTTATAAGATTTTGTGTTTTTTGATATAAATTGTCATTAACATTGTAACACTTTCTTTCAAACTAGTCAATTACTTACAGTATGAGTTTTTAAAACCTCCCAACATAACTATTTGAACTTATTTCTTAGACTTCATCCAATAAATTCACAGATTGTAAAAGTTTTAAACAGAGTTAAAAAAAATGGTGGACCAACTTACTTCTGAAGCTAAATCTTTTTGTTTAGCTAAAGTATCATCAGTATATACTTCTATTTCTGTTTTACTCTTCTCTAAGGATTTATGTAAATGACCTAGAAACAAAATGATTAAAACATTGGAGAGTTTCTAACCTTTGGCCTCTTTACAATATCAAGCCTTATACTGCAATAAGTAGCTTTCTTGTATCACAGAATACTGTTATTTAATTGGCTTAGGTTGTACACTAGTGAATACAGCCAGTCAGAGTCCTGGAGAGAAAGACCGTGAATATTATGTCTTAGAGTTTACAGATTTTCTGTCAAGGCCTCTGATTGGCTGTATTATCTTACATACAGTCCAATCAAATCAAAGCATTTACAAACTTCTGTGACACAAGAAAGGACAAAGTTTGGAACAGCTTGATATTGTGAAGATGGCACCTTAATGGCCTTATGAAGAAAATTGAAATGAGAAAAATTTACTTGGTTTGGGCTTCGGTAAAATGATGAAGTAGGTCAGGCCTATCAGCTGATCCATATTTCTTCATGAAAAAGTGAGCATTAAAGATGGGTTTCCTTTTTTTGGTAGTGTCAAATTAAGCAAACTATTTGATAAATTGGTGTTTCTAATGAATTATCATGTATTCTTAATCATATCATTATGTCCATATTGCATATAATTTAGAGTTTCAACCCATCATAAATGTCCATGTATGGACAGTCTGGATAAACAAAAAAAAGATTTTTTGACATTTCTTGATCGGTCACTCATTGGAATTCTGCTGGTAATTCTCTCCTAATTTAGCTAATTATGAACTAATTATGATTACGCACCTGTGAGATAAACAGGTATTTTTCCAAGTCATTAGAACACTTTCTATTCATATAAGTATTAGCATTTTCATGTTCATAAATGAAAATAAGGGAACTTGATTTTAATAATAGCTTGCAAAATT